TCCTGAGCCGTCAGGGGAGATGGAAAAGATGCAAGCGCACATTGACAAGTTTTGTTTGTGTTTTTTTGGACAGAGGCATGAATGAATTCCCTATCAAGGGGCCAACCAGTCAGAGGTCAAGAAGGCTTTCTGAAGGAGACATTGAGAAGTGTGTTAGGTTTTAAATGGTGAAGAATGGAGCTGTAGGAAAGAAGGGCAACCAGAAGTCATCCAGGGCCTTCCAAAAGAACCTTCATGCATCAGTTAGCCAGGGCAGGGAGTCTTTGTGTCAATACGAATTCCAGAACCTGTCCAGACTCAGAATTTCTGATGTCGAGGGCCCAGATTCTAATTGTTTTCACAGCTGAGATGATCCTGAAGCAGCTGCTCCATGGTTTTCCGCTTGGGATATCTCCGTCAGGTCGAGCACCCTCCCTCCGCATTATAGAGGTAAGAGAACCGAGGCAACCAAGGAAGGACACAGGTTAGACTCAGTATCATCCTGTGACTAAGACCCAGGCCTCTTGATCCTCAACTCCATGGCTGGACCACCAGAGCCTGCAGAGCTCACCATGTACCTCTTCCATAAAGCACGCCTTTGGCTAATACAGTGACTGGTGCCTACATGGGGGTGTTAGTCCCACTGTATTCTGGGTGTGCTCACTGTGCCCGCCTCCTCCCCTGGAGAGAGCAGAGTCTCTCCCTGTGTAGCACCATCTCCCTGACATCGAACGTTTGAAGAATGAGTTCATGAATGAAGCCCACAAATAGGACTCCCCACAGCATCAGGTAAGTACTAAGAAGGTCACCTGTCCCCAACACACTTTATTTCTCTAAAGAGAGAAAAATAAGACCCAGCAACCAAACTCTGATACTGGAAAACACAGTGAACTTGGATTCTAAATCATAATGCAGAGAACAGGTAATGCGAACTTTTTTGGTAGACATAACCTATGCTAATAAAATGCCATTTTTTCCCTACAACAGTTAAAATCCAGCACATACTTCAGAGTCTTGAGCAAACCTGAAGGGTGTTGGAAGCTAGCCACAAACCGTGCATCCTGGAAGTCCGTTAGGACTCCTAATTTCATCCCTTCCAACCAATCGATGGGCTTGAAAACACAATTCTGGAGAAGAGGTTCAGAAAGCATATACCCTTTCACGTCTACTGCATACCCGCTGGGGCCAAAGAACTCCATTCCCTGGTGACATTTTTCATTTTATTGCGACAACGTGTGGGCACCATTTCCATTCATCCAGTAGGAAACAGAAGTCATGAGAACATAACGAATTTGCCGCCAGCAAGTACACGATGAATGATTTCAACCTCAGTCTGCATGGCTACAAAGCACCTCCTGCCTCTTGCTCCCCCAAAGCCGTTCTGCAAAGTGTCTAAGGGAGGGCAGGGCTAGTTGGGGATGGGGGGAGATCAGCCCTCCAGCTGGGCAGGGGCTCCAAGCACTTTCTAGCATGGTGTGGTTACCACATGGACAGCAGAACCAAGGACCAATCAGAACATTGGTCTTGGCTAGTTAGTCGCAGTGTTTCTAGAAGGGAAGACGGGAAGCCCACTAAATTCTTACTTAATCTGGTGGAAGCAGAAAAGCTGTAAGTCAGATGGACAAAAGTCTGACCCGAATCATAAGAACAGTCATGGCCTCTCCATCCAACCCGAGGCTCGAAGCAGTTTAGAGGCCCAGGACCCATTAAATGAAGGGGAGGCCACATCCCCTTGAGGATGGACCCTCGTAGATTGCCAAAAATTTATACTGTTACTCGTTCTCCTAACTTTCCTCCGAAGGGGCCTCCAGGCTTTCTTTGGGGGCGGGGGGATATACCTTGGGGAAAAGGAAATAATCAGACCTTTTGGGGATTACTGGACACTGGCTCTGAACTGACTAATGCCAGGAGACCCAAAATGTCACTGGTGACCCACCAGCCAGTGATGGTGCTTCTGGAATTGAGGTGATGAGAGATTTTTAGCTCAGCTCTTTCTCATACCCATTCCAGTGGGTCCCGGAGCCCATCGGTAATCACTCTCCAGCTCCAGAATGTATAATTGAACTAGACATACTCAGCAACTGGCAGAATCCCCATGCTGGGGGAGCAAGTCACTATTTGTTTATTTAATTAAGGGAGAAAGGGGCTGTGGAAGATCCGGGAATGTGGTTCCCAAGGCCTGAATATGCTCTACTTTTGGAGTGAACTCAGAACACTCAAGTTTGGGGTTTACTGTGTGTGTGTTATTTGGCTTCAAAGAAATGGGCTTGGCTCAGCACTGGAACATCAGGATTAATCATTCCAGCCATGAAGAGCCATGACACCTATCAAGTTTCAATTGCTAGCTGAAACCCTTGATAGCTGCTAGAAAAATAAGGTGCAATTATAGCCTAGAAACATAAATTATCAAGGCCACGGTGCTCTCAGATTGTAATAAATGAAGTGTGGGTAGCCACATATGTGGTAGGGATCCCAGCCCCCAGTGTGTGTCACAAATGCCTGGTCGCCCACAGGCACTGGAGAGGAAGGAAGAGAAAAGCATTCTCTCCAGATTCAACAGTGGCTCAACTGTGGATGAAGGCACAAAGGGAGAGCAGTTTCAGGGTTTAAGCCAAGAAATGTTTTCAACATTCATACAAGTGATGGTCTCTGATATCTATGCCCACAGGCTTTCTGGTGAGTAGGGGAGAATGACAGGTAGCTACAAGAGGTATAAATACTTCTGCAGACAGGAATGCAAATGACAAAACAGTGGTTTCCTCCTCTGGAAAGTCCATTACATCGAGGGTAGACTGGGGGCCGTGGAAGGACAGGAAGGCAGTGACTGTTGCAACCACGGGACTAGACATTGCAAAGCCACGGCCGTTGGCCTTCCCACCTCGGACATCTGGTCTGGCCCTCAGTCACAGTGAGCTCAAGTAGGACTGGTCTTTAGCAAAACTGGGTACAATGAGAGTTACATCCCTGAACCACGTGTCCTTGGGCTCCTCACTCAGGGACAAAGAAGCCATTTTTAAGGGCTCTTCCCAAAGGGACTGTAGGACACAGTGCTCACGTGCATGGGTAACAGTGCTTCATTCTGGAAAACATTGACTGAGTACCTATTATGGGCTCAGCACTGGGAACATGCACCTTCGGGAACTCCCATCTACTCAGCACAGAGAAGGACTCAACGTGTCCTAGGAGAGGATACCAGGACATCCAAGAAGGTTGCTGGAGAAGGTGACCATGGAGTCATGCCATGCAGACCAGAGGGAGACATGGGTCCAGGGCACTTTACTCTCGGCTCACCCACTGAATTGGTGGATGCCTTTTCTGTGACTTCTTTTCTGCTCTAAAGTCTGCCCTTGATATCCATTTCAACCCAACTGCACCGGAGCAGGAATCCTGGGCTCCTACCCTCTCCGGAGAACAGCCGCAAACAGTTCTCTAGGAACAGTGTCAGGAACCGTGGACTGGTCTTACTTTGGCAGAGCTCCAGAACACACCAAGCCTCCGGCTCCAGAGGGCAGAAGCCCGAAGAGGGGCTTCTCATCCCCCTGCCTCAGCTGGCCGGCCTTCCCCACCACCTCCGTGCCCCATAACCTCATCTGAGACTTACATAAAAAGATTCTTATTAAAATGGCGACAAAATGTAAAGTGAAATATCAGAGACACAGAGGGAATAAGCCATAGATCTGAGAAAACAGCTGCATATGAAAGGATTAGGAAAATAAATTAGAAGAAACTCAAAGGATTTAGAATCCATTTCAGGTGCACTAGAAGAAAATCCCTCCAGGACCGAGAGAACAGGTCCAAGTTAAAACCTAGGCAGGAACAGAGGCTCCCTCCTCTACTGGCCGCCTCTCAGTGTTTTACCTCAGGGTTTATATTCTTTTTTTACTCCTTAGCACTTTTGGGGATGATGCTGTTCAAAGTGAAGTCAGGACCACTGGCATCACTGGGTCCTGAGGGACCTGCGAGAACGTAGCCTCTGGGTGCCCCGCAATACTTGGGCAGCTGGAAGTCCGAGAACCACGGAACCAGCTACTGTATCATTCTTAAGTAGTGGTGATATCCGTGCTAAATCTTGGGTAAGCTGCTGTTTAAAATCTGAAGGAGACACTAGTGACTAAATTGGTTGTTTTAGAAACTGTTAGATTCTAAAAGTGGTAAGAGTACAGTCACGTTGTGACCAATTTTAAATAATGTAAGATTTACACAATGAAGCCAATACATACAATACATACATCTGAACACATCGCTCCCTCAGGTGAAACACTCCAGTGACTTCTCACTGCTCTTCTTTTTTTTTTTTTAAGATTTTTATTTATTTATTGGACAGAGATCACAAGTAGGCAGAGCAGCAGGCAAAGAGAGAGGGAAGCAGGCTCCCCACTGAGCAGAGAGCCCGATGAGGGCTCGATCCCAGGACCCTGGGATCATAACCTGAGCCAAAGGCAGAGGCTTTAACCCACTGAGCCACCCAGGCGCCCCTCACTGCTCTTCTGATAAAGACCCAGACCCCTGATCCCCAGGAGCCTTCCTTTCCACTACTCCAGGCCTGGTGAACTCCCAGCCCCCGGCACTCTGCTCTTGGGTTCCTTCAACCCCCACATCTGCTCATCACATTCACTAGGCATCTGCAGGGACTCCTCGTTCCCCACGGAAGTCCACTCTCTTCCCAGCCCTCTCTGACTACATGAATCCCTTGCCGTAGGCTCTTCGAGCATCAGCACCTTTCTTCCCCAGCCCTGGGCCCAGCTTAAATGTCACATTCCTTCGTGTGATCCTTTGATCACTGTACATTTCCTCCACAAGAGCAGCCCAAGAAAGCAGCAACACGTCTGCTATTTTTCATAGGAAGGGGACTCACCATTGTTTATGTGTCCCTTAGTACCCACCCCCCGCCATGGTACCTAGCAGGTGCTCAATAAATATTTGTGGATGAACAAATGAATTAAAAAGTATTTTAAAAGGAAATGCTGGAGGCAAAATCAGACCCACGGTAGCCATCAAGCATACCCCGACCCCTCTCTTACAAGTTAAGGGCTCCAGTGTGTCTGGGACCCTAAAGACTAAAGTCCTGTGGTAGCTCCCCTTCCCATGTATAGGACACTCGGTACCTTCTTTGGCACTTTTCACTTCAAATGGATGACCCCAACTCTTCTTATGCAATTTCCAAGGTCTGAAAGAAGAGTGAAACTCAATTTTACAGCTGCCATTGTGCCATTTCTCTGGGCCTCGCATTGATCTGGTTACAATTACCCTAAAGCCTATTCATTGTCTGAAAGATGTAGTTTGACATCAAAACAAACCTGGAGCTTTGGCTTCTTATACTCTTGTACCTCTTTAGGTGCCTTAACATCCTCAGCTCCCGGGGTCAATTCTCAGACTGTTTCATGGCAATTTCATATGCCAGAATTGTTAGCAGCATATTTAAAGATTGAAAATGGCCCTAAACCAGTCTGCAAGTAATCGCAACACAATTCTTAGGACAGTGGAAAAGTGTCTCCTGGGAACATAAGTGAATCCACCACGACCGCCCTCTTCCCCCTGCCATCTTGCTGGCTGGCAGTCAGCCCTGGCTGAGGTAATGACCCTGACGGTGTGCTCTCACTGGCTCCTGAAGCAAAGCTCTCATGGCATATTCTCCACCAAGCAGCATGGCCACTCGATACGAAGTCCCAACACAACAGGTTCAATGGAGGCAAAAACAAATTTGACAAATGGAGGGGACTCAGCTGCAGGAGAGCTGGTGTTAGGTGTGCTACAGAAAAGAGCATTCAGTTTGGATCTGCATGATGTTGGGCAGTCAGCCTCTCTGACAGATTTCCTCACCTGTAAAATGGGTACAAGGTAAGTCAATGGGTCTGAATCACTGTGAAACTGTTACATACATTTGTCTGAATATAATTCTCCAGTGATTTACTGTAAATCTGTATTTCACAGTAGAAATCTTGTTATGAGTCTTCAAACATTTCCCATCAGATCCCATTTAAAGCTATACACCAATCCTAATACATAGTGTAGAGGTATCGCTCTATAGCCGAAAATCTACCAGCTGAACGTTCCCTAGTTATCACCCTGCTTGGGAGAAGAGAGAGTGAGTGGAAATTTATTTTACACTGAAAATAGTGTGCAATTTGTCACGTGCCAAACAAGATTTGCATATAGTGATTAGATGAGGGACTTTTCACAACTCTAGTAGTCGGGGGTGGGGGGGAAGATATACGTTTCAAAACACAAGTTTAGAGTAGTTTCCATTTGCACAGTTCTCTTCCACACCCATACTTCACAGCAGTTTAACATCTGTACTGAGGTTGATTTTTTTTTTCCATCCACTCATGAAAGTGGACAGGTACATGAGCTACTGCTTAATGAGCTGGTGAGTCTGTGAGCTAGTGGTTGCCTTCCTGAAGGCACATAAAGCAGAAAAGTCACCCAAACAAACTGGCAATAGCCAGAAAGAATAAACAGAAATGGAAACAGGTGTCTTCTACTTCTACTTCTACAGGTGGCCATAAAATGAATTGTCCAACCTAAGACACTTTGCAAAGGGAAAGTTGGTACGTGACATTAAGCTGGGCCAACACAGCTATCCTGGGTCTAACACTCAGAACTGTAGTCATCCAACCTTAATTTTTCTGTTTTATCCCCAGAGTATTTGTTAATTGGTGTGACAGGCTCAGATCAAACAAGAAAGATTACTAACACTTTACTACCACCCACCTGCCAATGAAGATTAACAATCTCCCACTTCCCGGAAGGCTTCAAATGATTCAGAAGGGGACATTTACCAAGTCTTATTGGAACGACTGAATTTCCTTAGTAGGCAACAGAATCACATGAAACCCAGTTCAACTGAATTAAATTCCTGTCAATGGCTCTTCCCCTGGTACTCCACTAACTGGGGGTTTCTCACTGGCCTTCCTTCTACACTGGGCGAGTGCAAATAGCCCCGCCAAAAAGCTGGATTTAAGGAAAGGGAAAGAGCCTCATTTCGCAACCTCCATTCTCTCTACACAAGGCAAAATAATAAGACAACAAAACCCCAGGTTAGTTCCAAGTGAATGGGAGATAGAGACCTATTTATAAGAGCTTTTCTTCAGGACCTCAGGTTGCTAACAGGATTCATTATGTCAGTTCTTTTAATTCACAATCAATTGTAATTTTCCCTGACCTGTATTTCAGCAGTCTACCTCTGAGGAAAAGTTATATAAATCAAACTAACAGTCTAGCAAAAATCTTAGGAGGAATTTCCTAGGCTACTTACAACTCATAAAGAAGATAAAATAATAAATGCATGTCTTTAAAGGATTTTAGCAAGATATTTGAATAAAAGACCTGAATAGGAACTATTAAATTAGTAATAATAACCTCAGCAAATCCAATGCACTGCTATCGGGGTATCCTACTTTACGATCATCATTCCATTTAATGCCCTCAGCAGCTCCAAGAAGCAGGGACTTAGATTATCTCCATTTGAATGATAAGAAAACTAAGGGATGCCTGGGTGGCTCAGATGGTTAAGCTTCTGCCTTCGGCTCAGGTCATGATCTCCAGGTCCTGGGATCGAGCGCTATGTCGGGCTCCTTGGTCAACTGGGAATCTGTTTCTCCCTCTGCCTCTCCATCTGCTTATACTCTCTCTCAAACGAATAAATAAAATCTTTAAAAAAATTGAATAATAAGAAAACTGAGGCCAAGAATAATAATTAACTTACACCAAGCCTGTCAGCAGGCAGAGTCCAAAAGATACTCAAACCCTCAACTGACAAGCATGTATGTATTTAGCCTTAAACCTCAAAGACTCCTGCTTTTCCCTTCTTCCCAAATCCAATCAGTCACCAAATCTTTCTTCTTTCATCGATGTCAACATCCTTTCTCTCTGACTTGCATCCATCCAGGGGGTCTCCAAAAGCTGTCTCCTTAAAGGAAAAGGATGGTCCACTACTCAGACTAGCAGGTGGGGGCAGAGAGAGTTGCAGTTACACAGGGAGCCCCCTGCTTTATTTACTTCTTCATTTGACCAAGATTAAGTGTTTCTTAGGGTAGGCCCAGAAGGAAGAAGCTGACAGCTTCCATCTCTCCTTGGCACCTCCTTCCTGTCTCACCCTCTAATCTACCTTCCCTATTGCCCTGGGAGCTGGATTTCTGACTGACTTCCAGTTGCGTCTTTTCCTTCCCTAAAATCCTTTGTTTTTCCTTTCCACTCAATGGATGCCCAGCACCCCAAGGAGTTGACACGAGGCCTCTTCCAGACTTTCTCCTGACTTCTGTATTCCTTGGACACGTCATGTTGTTCTTCCTTTTAATACTCAGCTTTCCAGATCTTTCTCAAAGTCCCTTCATTTTGAACTCTATCCTCTGCAATCCGCAAACAGTCTACATACATGTACATTTACCACCCTCCACTGTGAGTGTCTCTTAATGGGTCTGTCTCCCCACACTGCTCCCATGAAGTGGATCTTACAATGTGCAGGGGGTGCCCTGACTACAGAACGTAAAATGCAGTCAAAATGGTTGCTGAGTGAATAAATGAATGAATCATGTAAATAATGTATTGTGATGGGTGCTGGCAGCCTAGCAATATTCCGGTTTGAACACATAGATGCATTTTAAATGTAAGTCTCACATTTACTTATTGAAATATACTACAATTAATAAATAAAACTTTATTGTGCTTCTCTTGTATAAACCCAGGCAAATGTTTCCCCAAACTCTCCACTGAAGAAGAATGGATGGTAATTGAGAAAACGGTCCTAATGAGTTGAAGTCACTTTCTGGCAGTAGAGAAAGTCTAAAGATGATGGAAACATATTCATTTCTTGCTAAAGGTTTTGATTTAATGAGATTTGTAGTGACTTGCTATAAATGTGACAAGCACTAGAGAAAATGGGATTTAGGAGCTGATATAATAAGTTTCTTTGCATTTAAAGACTTTTCATTATTAGGAGAACTGCATGGATGTGTGTGTGTGTGTGTGTGTGTGCATCTTTCTCTCTCGCACATACAGACACACATACTTACTAGTAAGTGTATGAAAGAATCAGTCTCCTTCCCCCAAATCTGAATTTTTGAGTACTCCATCACTTCCCACAGAGTGGTCCAGTATTAGGACTAACTAGGGCACGGGGTCCACTATAAAAATGCTATGAAAATGGTGAGGTGGGGCAAAGGGGGGATAGTGGTCAGGAGTCAAGGAAAAAAACCAGCCTTACTCAGTGCTATTGGAATTCACTCTTCACTCAGCCAAAAATACGCAATCTAACCAAAGTCCTTCCACTAGCTCTACCTCCCAAGCCACATGTCTTTTCAGGACAATGGGCAAAGCCAGCTGCGGCTCTACATTTGGATTAAAGAGCCCGAAAACAGAAAAAAAAATTATTTTGAAATGCATTACGCTTCAAAATTAAGGGTAATTGTGTGTAGCAGCCTGGAAAATATAGCTCATCCAGCACTGCTCAACCACAGAAGCCCACAGCACCAAATGCTGGTTCTCTAAATGCAATTTCAAACTTAAAAAAAAAAAAAGAAAAGGCACAAAGGGCGGAAGGAAGGGTGGAGGGTTGCTATAGGGCTGTGACTTATAAGGAGGCTGCTGCCTTGGGAGTCATAGCCGGTCCCCAAGTGGCCGTATTTCTAGGTTGCTTAAGCCACTAGAGGCTGCTCTGCACAGTTACTGCAGCCAAACATCGAAGGTAAATAAAAGGTCGACAGATAATTACATAAGAAAATAAATGAGGCAAGATTAGGATAGAAATCTAATGGACAGAGGAGGAAAGGACTTCACAGAGAGACACACCTGAAAGGCTTTCCCCTGACCGGTTCAATGTCCAGGTCACACTAATGGAATAGCAGTATCTCTTGCTATCTAACTAGCCCAGGGACATTGTACAAGCAAGGGAGGCGGCATTTCACCCTGTTAACTCATTCCCACACAGACACTTCCTTAATCTGGTGACAGAGGTCTCTGAATGAGCCAAACTGAGCCTCGTGAACTACCTCCCTCGTTTCATTTATCACATTCCCATTCTGTAGAGGGTATGGTTACTGCAGCAACCAGTGGCCAGGATTCTAGACCTTGTGTGGAAACGGAAACATAAAATCACTCACTATAGGTCTCTCCAGCCATAGCATACCAGGAAGAAACACACGTGAAATTCGGCAAAACTGAGCTGGGTTA